TGACGCCTACTGTAAATTCGCACATGACCTCGCTTTCGAACTTCACGCCATCGTTGCGGATCAGCACGACCGTCTTTCGTTACGACTAGATTGTTATATTGCGATATGTTGTGTGCTGTGAGTGTGCCCGTGAGAATTTGAAGCATATTGCAGTCTTGCTTAGAAAGAGCAGGTACTCGTAGTAAGTGATTAAGACGCATGATTGCACTTTTCAGGTATGTTCTGAAATGACCGTGGCCCATGAAGCTTATGTCTCTAACATTTCTGCGTTGTTTGCGTACGAAGCAAAACGAAGCATTACGAACAAAATATGATCTTGAGATACTAGCGAAAGCACCTTTAGTAGTGGCATAGACCAAAATATTCCAATTTCACAAGTACGTCAGTGGATAAGAACAATAAGACGTATATGTCGTCGGAACTTTGTATCATGACATAGCGACACAGTGCAGTATATCACAACGCTGACACTCCAGCGCTGGCCACCACGCGCACGTGCGACTGAGGTTTAATAAACAACGTGGTTTTTTTGTTACCCACGTAAATGCTTGTTGACAAGTTTGAAGATTCTAACTCCAAATTAGTTAAGATTTAAATACTCACCCAGAAGGAATGTGAACGGTTTTCAAAGGCAAAAGTCACAATCTCAATTAAAATTCTACACCCAATAAACACAATTCGAGCGCGTGGGCATGGTCGGATGAAGGGCCAAAAGAAGCCTGTCTATTGGATCCATGCTCTTTTGGAAGCTTTAATAACAGATTTTTCAGAAAGAGTTTGTAGACATTTTCCTTGCATAATTCACCACATTTCATAGATAAATTCTAATGACGATTTTCATTATGCATAAGACACGCTTTATTGTGTCAAGTGCATCGAGGAATGAACACTTCACTCACCAGCACTGAGAGGCTAGTGGCTCAGCAGATACCTATAAATTTGCACACCTCAAATATAGAGACACAATTTGCTATTATACCTCTTCAATATGCATAGTATGAAATTTTAAAGTGTACAGACGTGGGTCTGCATCCAAGTTATTGAGGCTGGTGTCGACTGACTTGCTGGTGGCAAAGTTTTTCTGTTGAGCCAAAGCAGAAATGGATGAATTAGCTTAATCGCTGGAGCTTTGCAAAGAATATTTACATTCCAAATCTCATAATTAAAATAACTATGTCTAACCCACTTCCTTAACACTCGAAAAAATTGTGGGGTCTAGTGGCAAGCATTAGTAATTGAAATATGCTGAATGAATTTCACCACTTCTTAACGCGAACATTGGAAAATAAATGATCGTCCCTAACAAGTCTCATACATTTAATTATAAGGAATGTCAGGAATAGTGAGTTATCGTTGTATATACAGCCATGATGAATTGCAGGTACTTTTAGATGCATGACCGAGAGTCTTTAACACTCGAATTCGCCGCTTTCACGAGAGTTCATATATTTAGAATCTATTCGACTACAACTGGTAAGATATATACTTGTTTTAGTATATCTTGTACAATTTGTCTCTAGGTTTTCTAAATAAATATTCACAAATACACCAAATGTAATGTATATTTCATGAAATCGCACTGATTGAGTATATTAATGTATATAGTTGAGTCTGCTAGCCCTCCATTGTAACGGAAATCACCCGTCCGTGCACAGACACTTTCAGAGGAAGGCTGAGGTCAACTGACACGCCTCAACGCGTGTTGCTCGCTTCCAGAGGACCGTTGATGTACGTAAGGAGGAAGAAAGGTGGAGAAACATTTGTCATTATAGAAATAGGCTTTTAAGCTCCTTAATCAGCCTTGATACAATAGAACTGATAGGGGATGTACAACCACACATGATGTACAGTTGATGTCAGCAGCACATATTATGTATGTAAGATTACACGTACCCTGATATGATGGGGTAGGTCGCACAAGATGGTGTAACCACACAATGGTGTGGCTATACCTTAACAAAAAGCCACCATGTGGCGGGACTTCCAGTAGTTATGCATTTTAATTTGGTCTTACTATTTAATTGAGAAAACATATAGATTTGGGTGCAGGCGGATCTGCCATATATAAAAAGAAGAAATACAGTTTACATTTTGAATGGAAGAATTAATTAGCCTTTAATTTAGGTTGTAGTTGCTCTTGGAGTAAGTGCTTTGCGAGCTGCTGCACTCGAACTGGTTATAAGTATAGATGCGAAAGGGCTACGGCAGCACCGCTGCACTTGGTAGCACTTGTAGCCGACCTACACCTGAGTCGCTACTTCTGACCCTCTGCGAGGATATAGCAGTTCTTCTTTTTGCCACAGAGCGTGCAGGATGGCAAGATAGCTGATGTCTCTGTTTGGCCCTGAGGGCGTGCAACAACTTGCTTCAAAAGGATCTAAAGCGATCGACGCGCGCCTAAAGGCGTTTTCATTCTAAATGTCCTGCTTGTGCACCAAGAGTAGAAGATGTCGGCGTCGATGACGCCACCATCGGCGACGGATGACTCCTCCGCTCATGTTGGGCGTTAAGACCTTCGAGGATAAGGGTGGAGAGAGAGAATCTCCTGCTCGGAGTGAGAGAGGACGAGATGGCATTGACGACCACCATGCTTCAAACCGAGCAACAGCGCGTGGCGCTAGCTATCTCCGAGCTCGGTGGTCAAGCGCGAGAATGGGCACTGACGTGCGGCACTTCGACTGAGATGTCGTTAACTTCCTGGACAGAGCTGACTCTGCAGCTTATATGAGTTTTCTCGCCGCCCAATTATGCATATGATGTGCAGTTGCGTTTTCTTGTCGCCCAATTTTGCACATCATGTGGAATTGTGATTCCTTGACGCCCGACAGGGACGAAAACAATTAGTGGATTTTGTCCTAGGGTTACGTACTCTCATTGCCGGGATGGCAGCCGATTCTCTCCCCGAGGCGGTCACAGTGATCGTCTTTATGGAGGGCCTCCTCTGTGGTGTGGCCAGAATGGAAGCTTTCAATGTAGTATTGAATGCTGAATTGACCTAAATCGGCACGACTTGATTGAATTGCACACCACAAGAGCTCGTCGAGCGGGCCTGAGCCGATGGATCTCAGCTATGCTGAAAAAGAGGTGGCAGAGCTCTGAGCTGCCGGGCAGCGTTCGAACACCTGACGATGTTTTGTCTGTGAAGACACCCGTCATCTTTGGACTGGTTGTTCCTTGTGCAAGGCACGTCAAGGTTCGTCGAACCGACATCCCGCTTCGGAACATTTTGGTTTGTCGCGAAAAAACGAGATAACCCAGTAGGCACGGGGCGCCTTTTTGGGAAACAACTGAGTTCTGTTGAGCATCAAGGAGGTAGAGGTCAGCAGGGCCCAACCGCGAAGAGCTCCGTGGTCTTCGAAACGGAACGTGTATGCAAGCCGGGCTTGCTCGTCGTAAAATCGACCGTAAAGGGCTTTGAGAAGCCATGGAAGATCTTGATTGATTCTGGGGGGGCTAGGCAATTATGCTCGACGCTCTACGATGGAAGGATGTCAGCTGTCGGCTGAGGCGCTGAAAGCGAGGTTGAGTGACATTGTCACTGTTCGTTTAGCGACGGAGACATGTGTCACGATGCCGAGGGTCCCTGTGGACCTCGGTGTCAAGTTTCTTGACTTGGATCGCGTGGAACGCGCTAATGTTTAGACTTGAAGATCCAAGGTATGACCTTATCCTTAGTATGACATGGATAGAACACCATGAGTCATGGATCGATCGGAATATGAAGCCACTATGTGCACGTCTCCTGGTGGAGCTTTGGTGAGTCATGAACCGACTTCTGCTAAGAAGCAATAGCGCTCTTGGCGCGGGCACTGGACCGTGACGGTCAATGTGCTGGATATCGTAGTATCCGAGTTGTCGAACAACGAAGGTGTATCGGACAAGAGACCCGTGCATGGCTCGCGGGCTGAACGTGGATTGTCACGTAACTCACTGAGCACAGCTCACGCTACAAAGCAGCTGCTGCATGCCATGAGCGGCATGGTCGGACGAGGTCCAAAGCATCGATGGTGAGACCCCAGTAATGCGCATGGATTGGCACGTAATCCATTGAGCACTGCTCACATTTCGAAGCAGTCGCATCATGCCAAGAGTGGCGTGGTCGGACAAGGTCCGAGATATCTAGGGCAAGACCCATCTGATGCGAGTGGAGTGGCAGTTTATCGACTGTACGTTGACTGCGGTGATAGCAGGTCTACGTCGGAGTGTTGATAACATCAAGGCTCCGATGGAGCAGGGGGTGGGGACACTTGAAGACACTGAGTACTTGTTTCCACTGGTCTCGACAGGAAAATCGCTATAAATATGAGACGGCGAGGCCGTATATTATTTGCAAGACGTAGGGCGTCGACCCTGACCGAGGGTGTGTCTACCGTCGACGATATCGCACAGCTATACACCCTTGTCAGCGGTGTTACGGGATAGGATGACAGCGACGTCACCCTCGAGACTATTCCCGCGGTAAATGCTACTCTTGAGCTAGACAAGATGTCTTTCGAAGAGTTTGGCGGCGTCTTGAAGGCAGACGATTTCGCCAGGTGTTCATTATACGACCGAACGAAGAGATGAACTCGTCGTCGCTTCTGGATGAAGCTTTTCTCGAGGGCACTAAGAGGGTGCTGAACGCACAGAGTGGATCGTCGATCCTGAAAAATCCCTCGGGTCCGTACTATTCGTAAAAATACTTTTTCAAGTCGTGGTCTCTAAAGATCCGCCGTCCGTCCTACCTACGGACCGAGGTGTGCATCATGAGATTGACCTGGTTCAAAGAGCCAAATACTGCGTAACACGCCGACGACCCCTGCTCAAGGAGCAGTGTGACGACAATTACGTTCTTTTCGTGCGAAGCACGATGCAAATGGTGCGTGAGAGAAAGTCTCCCAATTCGACACCCACGTTTTGTGTCCGGAAGCTGAACGGCAAGTGGTGTAACGTTTACGCTTACAATAAGCTCAACGCTGCCACCATTCCAGCACAGACGCTGATTCCTAGGAAGGATGTCTCAGAACAATATAGTTGTTTGTACAAAGTACAACGCACTCGACTTGGTCGGTGGTTATTACCAATTGCTTATAAGTGCGAGTGTTATTTTGTGAGTACTCTAAGCGAGATGCTCTGAGAGTGGCTGGTGATTCCCCAATTGCTGTCAAATGCACCAGCAGCATTTGATTGTCTTGTGACGCGATTGACAGCGGGAAATCTAAGCGAAATGCCCTAGAAGTGGCTGGTGATGCCCCAATTGCTGTCAAATGAACCAGCAACTTTTGATTGTCTTGTGACGCGATTGTTCAGGCCGCATCGGGCATATGCACAGACATATTTTGACGACATCTTCGTCCACAGTCGTGCGAGGCACGGGAGGACAGATGAGTAAGATCACATCGTCCATTTCAGAGTGGTGCTCGAGTGCATGTGCACGAATAAGCTGTATGATAGTGCCGATAGTGCATCTTTCGCGCTGAGGTAATTTAGGGAGCTTCATTGGAAAGCGTGGCCTTTGAGCGGATCCCGCTGAAGTCAAGGTCATTGTGGACCGGTTTCAAAGAACCAAAAGGACCTGCGCAAGCAGCTTGGCCTCGCCAGCAAC